CTGCTTTTTCGAGCATTTTTTAAATTTTGAGCACGAATTAAAGCCAAACTGCTAAAACCACAGTAATATATGAATATAAGTTACATTCCCCAGACATTCAGCTTTCATATTCGCGCCTCCCCTTAGACTAGTCCACGCTTCCCCAGGAAGGCGCGCCTCGCTGTTTGGAAAACGCTGGTCTAAGACGTTATTTTCCTACTTGTTCACCAAAGTTAAATGTATGACTGGTTGCATGCATTTTAGACGCTATATAAGTTTGTGATAGCTAGCAATATGGCAAAACATTTTTATCATGTGCCTTCGGTTCAGAATAAAATTCATTTTCTAGTATTTTCACTGCACTTGGCACTCGGAAATGCTATACTATCTCTAAGGATCGTGTAGGACGCAACAATATCTTGATTGGTGTTGCTGAGTCGTCATGAAGAAATATATTCTTTAAGTTTAAGTCATTTCTTAGTTACATAATGAACATTTAGTAATTTTTTTACTTGATATGTTGCATAAGAGATGCGTCTTTCTTACGCAACAATAAAATTGCACGAAAATTACGTATCTTTCGTGAAATTAATAAAAAAATAAACTGGGAAAACTGAAAACTCGTCAGATCGCAACGTTTATTATATAACAAATTGAGCAACGCTTGCACACACTTCATTATGCAATAAAATCAAAGAAAAGTTCATTAGTTTTCGAGATATTAAAAAAAAAATCGATTTATGAAACTGTGATTTTAATAAAATCCAATTGGAAATTGCATGAAATTTTGGATAATTTTCAGGAACTCAGAAAATTGAAATAGAATGATTCCTATTGGAAAGGTGACACTTTCACATTAAGTTTGAGTATAAGCCTGAAAACTTTATGTAACTTTAAAGTATATTACGAAGAAACGGGAAAACAACTGAAAAGTTGTAGGTACTGTATGGGTTGTTATATAACGAGTTGTGGGATAAGAAAAAAGTTTATTAAATTTCGACTTATTTTTTATATAACTATACTTAAATCGGCCCCTGACGTTGAGAGGCTCAGATAAACGCGCGTCAATTGGAACATTGGCAAATATTAACACGAACTGATGTAGAAAATAAAAACGTTTAATCCTCCATAAACACTATCTAATTACGTCATTTATTACGCAATTCTTGCTCATACCATATCAAAATGTACAATGATTTAATGTAATTGAAACTAACTACAGCTATTAACAAATTAAACTATTTTATTAATATACTTGTTTAATTAAGAAAACAATAAGGTTATATAAAGATTATCGATTTTCTTGATGTATGCTTTTGATCAAAGTATTTATTTACATTTATTAACAAAATTATCAAATTTAAAAGCGTTCAAAGCAATGAATTGTGTTGACCATAAAATGATTCTGCTAAAATGTAAGCATATTTGAACGAAGAATGTTTGAAGGATGAATATTGTTATGTTACAGGAATATTTGGCAAAAAAAAACTATTTTAAGAAGGCCTCTACTGTTCGTATCTAATAGATTGTCCAAACAATCGGTTTGTGCCACTTTAAATATCTAAAACGATCGATTAAACGCGCGAAATTTAAAATTTAAAATCTTAACAACGTTTCTATAATAATTTTATGCATTTGATATTTCGCAAACAAATAAAATGAGCATACAAAAATGAACGTTTTTATTGTTTTCTGGTATTATGTACATGTAATGTAATCCAACTATTAAGTAATATAAATAGCGTTCGATGACTTAAGTAAATAGTATTAAGTTTGTTTGTTTCTTCGTGCTAATGCCAATAAAAGATTAGCAGCAGGTCGCGAATTCACGAGTAGTTGGTGACCCAATCCCACTTGGAGTAGTGTATCGTGGAATTGTACTTGACGCCTCTCGGTTTCAGCTTCCTGACGAAGACTCGTCTTGGACCTAACTTCTGGACCTCCCTGTAGTTGTGGGTCAAAAGCGTTTGCTCTTCATCGGCCTTCAATCTTCGGAACTTGTTCATCTAATTATGAAAGAAAAATATTGATTTATAAATATCTTAGGTTTTTTACATTTAGGTTTGATTACGAATACCTGCGATACGGAGACTGGGAGCGGATCTGGGAAGAGGATCCAAGTGACCGCTTCCGAGCATGGAGGAGTTGTTAAAGATCCGCGATAGGTGTAGAACCTCTCCATGGTTTCAAAAGGCGGTAAGATGCTGGCCAAGGTGAAGGTTTCATTGATCTGCACGCGTTTGTTGAAATCCAAGACCGAAGGGAGGAATTTCACGAGTTGCGCCAATTGCTTGTTCTCCTTCTCACGCAGCTAAAGAACAAAAGTTTTGTTTGTTTGTTTGTTTAAGCTTTTGACAACATGATTGTTTTCTTGAAACAAAATAATATAAATAAACCTTAGTTACGTCAGTTTACCTGGAAGAAGAAGCCGAGAACGGTGAGTCCGTCGCGGTAACCGAGTGCTTCTTCCATCGTCGCGTATTTCCTGTTCCTGTGGATGATGTGCATCTCCATCGGGAAGCGGATATCGTTTATCACGTGCTCGGACCCTTCGTTGTTCTTATCGCCCCAATGGAAATGAAGAGCTTCCATCTCGTACTCGCTGTTCAACTTTGCACCGAAGATGTAAGGTACGTACTTCTCCTTTGGGTCACCTTCCTCCAACTTTGGAATCGCCACAGAAGCTATTTCGATTTTCAATTAATTTACATAACACATTTACTTACACAACATATTTTAATTTCTAGCTTTTTTTTTGAATATTTTTCATAAATTTGAGAATATTATACAAAAAAAAAAAAACTTAATTTCAGTATAAATTAGTTGCGTTTTCTGGACAATTATCTAATCAATTTTGATATTCAACTGAAATTCTAATATAACATTTGTATCTATTTATTAAAGTCTCTCAAATAATTCCTTTTTGATAAAAAAAAAAACGTACTTTATTTCTTAATTACTTTTTCGTTTGCATTTGCCAAGTTTATTTATAGTCATTACAGAAATATAATAATTTTACCCTTTGGCCAGTCTATTGATATATATTTTTATTATATGTTAAAATTTATTTATGTATAAATTGTACTTTTTTTTCTTCTTCTTATGTATTAATGTTTGGCCAATAAATTATTATTATTATTAATAATTTTACACTCAATTCGCATAATTTCAATTTACAAAAGTTTTATAATATTAATTAATATTTGCATATTCATTTTGTTTTATTGCTTTAAAAACTACACTTACGTTATTCCATTTTATAAATCATTTTTTAATTTATCTATACAATTTTTAACACAATTTTATGTTGATGTTTCTAAATATTTGGTGAAGTAATAATAAATACTTTTTAATTAACAATTTTTAATTTGATAAGAATTTGTTGAAATTTTAATTATTTATTTAGATTTTATTATATTTTCTTCTATAATACAAATGTTTATTCAATTTTAAGTAAGAATTTCTCTAAATTAATTCATTTAATTAAATTTAATTAAATAAAACTGTTCATTTTATTTAACATTTAGATTCAATTTATTTAAAGCCTTTAATCTCTATATTTGTATACTTTTTTAATTGAATTCGATCTTTCTTTATGTCAATACACTTAACAGATAACTTAAGTTGCACAAGTACACTTAATAATCTTACTTAAGTTCATACAAATTTAGCTACAATTCTCATAGCAAATACCATCAAGAATTTAGTAGTAAATCTACAGTTTTCTGATATAGTTTACATATTTCAGATCATCATAATATTTCTTATTGTAAAGTTTTGAAGATTCATTTAACAGTAACTAAACTTCCGTAATTTCATAGATATTTGGCTTCAATTTTCATAGTTTCAATAGCAAATACTTAAGCAGTTTTTCCTTAGTTTTGAAATTGAAAAATTTTCACTATAACCCTAAAGATAGTTAGTTTATAGTTTCATAGATGTTAGCTTGAATATTTATAAGTTTAACAGCATGTACCATTCATGTAATTTCATAAAAAATCAGATGTGAAGTTTTCTAATTGGAAATACTTGAAACACTTACCAGAATGTCCATTATTGTGAAGCTCTAAAGGTCCTGGAAGAAGGTCATGGTACCTGACCATCTCAAGAGCAGGCATGGTCAAAGGTATAGCCCTGTGACCGCTGATCCCGATCGGAGATTGCAATCCTGCCTCGCAATCCGAATTGATGTTCTTCCATTTCAGCTGCTCGGATTGGCTGTATCCAAATCGATGAGCATCTGAAGCTACCATCCAAACCAAACACTTTAAACCTATTTTCTCTATACCAAGAAACAACTGAAAACTTACCAGCAAAGCTGAAAACTACCACGAAGCACCACACGAACCGCATAGTCGCGCAATAATATTTATCTCTCGCTACTTCTCTCCTGCCTTTGCAATAAAGATTAAACCAGGTGATTTTTCACTTTATTTGATTACGGATCATAGGAAGCTGCGTCCGCTACGGCCAATGGCAACGCAATAAATAACAAATAATAGCAAAAAAAAATAGAGGAAGCGAGGATTCGATCCTCCGCTTGTGTTCGATACCGATTAGATTAATTTCAGATTATTTATGCTACATGTGTTAAAAAGGTTACGCAATCCGGTGCTAACAGAACTCCACTCTATGACGGAAACACTCTTGTTATTTTTTTTACATACACCCCAAAGAAAGTAAAAAACAAACGCACTGAAGTTTACTATTATATAATTTTCTATATTTAGAGACGCAATCTCGTAGATAGCATCACTTTGTTTTTGATTACATGCGTCTTAGTCCTTCACAAAACGCTGATTACCTTTAATGTAATTACAAAAAGCGATTTTTATAGCTTTTTCTCCTACTACTTCTGCTGCTGCTACTAAATACAAGTTGATGGCGTCAAAATCGGTTTAATTAACGCCATTCGTGGACGTCCGAAAAATACCTTCTGTTTGATTCTTTCATTCTTCATTGTTTCTCCTAAACCCGTGCAAATTGGATGTGTAATGTGCGAATTGCAAAGAAACCATGGGATGACGACAATTCTTTTTAAACTGCCGATAAAAATAGGCCTCTTTTCGTATCGTATCTTTACATATTTCTTAGCTTCGTCAAAGCGATTATGCAATCAATTTGTGTTATATTTTTCACATCACTATCACCAATTTGTTGCTTTGACTGCACTGCAAATATGTGGACTGGACAATTTGGTTTTTATATAGTGGATCTACTTGAAAATATGCAAAAAAAAAAGAATAGTTAGAGACGCAGAAAAACAAGTTGTTGACAGTGAAAACAAATTACTTAATAAATAAACAATATGCAATAAGAATAATCATGCAAATATAACAAAAATAAATGTCGTTGCAATTTAAATAAATCAATAGCACACGTTTTCATTGTAATGCAGAGCTGACAAAATAATAAAATGTTTGAAAAATATCAAATCTCCTCGTGTCTTTTATACCTCAAGGTTAAGTTATGTTTTAATCGTATGGGAAATTACAAATCCACAATGAATTAATATTTTTCTGAATGATAAGCGTAAATTATATAATCAATTATTTTCCAGTAAATTCAGTTATTTTTAAACTATTGTAAATGAATTTTTATTTCCATACATTTTTTTTTGGTGGCAAGTGGAGAAGTGTTAATTAATTTGTGTAAATAGAAAGTTTTAGCTGTAAAAAATATTAGTAATTTAAACAATAATTAGAGATTATTCAAGAGATTTAGTTTTAATTAACACATATTATTTTAATTAAGTTATTAATATAAAAATAAATTAATAAAAGTTTAGATTTGTGTACTGAATAGAAAATGAAATTTCAATTTTAACAATATTTATTTGAGATTATGATATAATCATTAATTAATCTTTTCCCGCATTCCTAGATTCAATAAATCATGCGTTTAAGTTTTTATTAAATTATGTTTCTATATCTGTTTGGTTTCGCTAGGTTTCATTGATCAAAGCCACTTACGTTAATCGTTTGGCCTTTTTCTAATCGATGATTCATAGATATATGAAATTGATTTGCGCGATACGGCGCGATTATTTTCGGCCACATCACGTAACGCATGCAAAATGCAACTGTGCCTTTCGCAAAACTGACATCATGCTGTATATTTGTATATATCTCTCTCTCTACACGAAATGCATCAATAAACAGATTTTTTTATTGGTATTTTACTAATCAAACGGATTACGAATCGTTGATTTTTCTCTTTAATTATTTAATTATTGTATGAAAAATTATAGAATTTTCTGAATTAAGATCATTTGAACTTAATATTATATAACTTGTAATTATGTTAGAATTTTTCCTATTGTGAGTATAGAATAATTATATATTAATTTTCGAAATAACTAAAATGTTAGAAAATTTGATTTAAATTATGCGAAAGATATAGAAAATATCAAAGTCTTTCTGAAAGTAATGAAAAAGGCTGAAAAACTTTCTAGAAATCATTCAATTATATCATAATAATTAAATTGATTATTTCTAAATATAAATAACAGTAGGTAATGCATCAATAAACACATTTTTTTTATTGGTATTTTACTAATCCAAAGAATTACGAATCGTTGATTTTTTTCTCTGTAAATTTATGAAACTGATTGCAGTTAATTAATGAAATGTTAATGAGATTTACATATTTATGGTGTAATAATTATATTAAGGAAAAAATTAAAGGTTTAATTATTAATTATTCAATAATTTAATTATTGTATAAAATTTATAGAATTTTATGAATTAAAATAATTTGAACTTAATATTATATAACTTGTAATTATGTTAGAATTTTTCCTATTGTGAGGAAATAACTAAAATGTTAGAAAATTTGATTTCAATTATGCGAAAGATATAGAAAATATCAAAGTCTTTCTGAAAGTAATGAAAAAATGCTGAAAAACTTTCTAGAAATCATTCAATTATATCATAATAAACACATTTTTTATTGGTATTTTACTAATCCAATGGATTACAAATCGTTGATTTTTTCTTTTTAAATTTATGAAACTGATTGCAGTTATTTAATGAAATGTTAATGTGATTTAAATATTAATAGTGTAACATAATTATTAAGAAAAAATGAAAGGTTTAATTATTAATTAATGAATAATTTAATTATTGTATAAAAATTATACAATTTTCTGAATTAAAATAACTTGAACTTAATATTATATAACTTGTATTTATGTTATAATTGTTCCCATTGTTAGTATGGAATAATTATATAATAATTTTCGAAATAACTAAAATGTTAGAAAATTTGATTGAAATTGTGCGAAAGATATAGAAAATATCAAAGTCTTTCTGAAAGTAATGAAAAAATGCTGAAAAACTTTCTAGAAATCATTCAATTACATCATAATAATTAAATTGATTATTTCTAAAAATAAATTTACTTGAGTTTATACGTTTTATTATGTAATAATGCATTGCAACTTTTGTATATTTAACAGAGTTTCTCAGACGTCAAGCGAGTAACTATTTATATTGTTTATCTTTAATTTACTTAATTGATTTTTAAAGAAATTTCCTATTTTTAATATTATTAATTATTTAGTATTTAATGATTTTATAGTAAATTTCATTACGAAAATCTTAATGATAAATACGTATTCTATTTCTACCCCTTTTTGGTTTTTGGGGATCGAACCAACGACCTTTCGTATCAGATTTTCGTGATACAGGCGACCATAGCCACACGGATAAATATGTATACATTTATAAAATAATTATAATAAAATTAAAATTAAGAATAATTAAATTTATATTCAAGTGTATGTACTTCGGTGCAAAGTGTGTTGCCTATAATAAATATACCAAATCGTATTTATTAGCGTATTCTCATCTTCAAGTTTACATTTGACTGTTCGTTATTAGCCAAATATTTTTTACAATAATTCTAATACTATATAAATACTTTCAATATTTATATTATTCAAAATCTGGGAAATTTCTTAGAAAATCAATTAAGGATAAACAATGTAACTAGAACGTCGTTACTCGCGTAACGTCTGAGAAACTCTGTTAAATATAACGTTGGTAATGAATTTATATAATTGATTAAATTGAGGAAAAAATTAAAGATATTAGCTTCTAGACACACTACATTCATTAGTTTGTCTTCGTCTGATTCAATTGCTAATTTTCGTAAAATCTCTGCATCTGGTTCATTTTCTGGAGCAATCAAGTTACAATTGATTTCTACCTACTTGCGTCTCACAGACGCAACGCGAGTTTTTCGTAAAATGGAAATTGCTTAAATATAAAGTTTTCATAAGAAAAAATTCCTGAAGCTTTTTTATAAAAAAAATATTAATATTAAATCCAACTTGTCTAATTAATAGTATTTTTCAGTGTTATTTAATAATAATTTGTAATTTACCCTTTCCAGCCCAAAGATTCCAAATGGAATCATTAAATTTTAAATTAAATTTTGTCTTTCGACGATTAAAAGTGTTGAAAGCAACTAGTGTTTATTGAAATACCGACTATATCAAAATCTCGACAACCATAATCCCGACAAACATAATCTCGACTATATCGAAAATTTTTACAATAACATTTTTAAATTATTTCGATTATTAATTGTTGTTTTTTATTATTAAAAACAATTTAAAAGTGACTACGCTCTAGAATAATTTAAAAATGTTATTGAAGACATTTTCGATACAGTCGGGATTATGGTTGTCGGGATTTTAATATAGTCGGTATTTTGATATAGTCGGGATTATGGTTGTCGGGATTTCGATACAGTCGAGTTTTCGAACATCGGGAATTTGATTGGTTGTCGGGCTTGCGATTTCCACCGATTTTTAATAGTAGGTAATGTTGAATAATGAAAACAAAATTGTTTTTTTTTAAATGGGCTGGAAAGTTGGATAAATTACATTTTCTAATAGAAATAATAAGAAAGCTTACCTGTTGTAAAGTATTTCGTATTTGCATTGAAATCGATGCAGTTTGCAATCGTTTCCGATACAGATAAATCCGCACTAAAGTGAACTTTACGATCCGTGAAATGAGTTCGATTAATGGGAAAAATGCTCAGATTTTGGTAAAATAAATAAACAAATATACTTGGTAGAGGTTTTTTTTTTAATAGACACTTCGATGTATATATTATTAATATATTTTTTTTGTACACTGACTTACAAATATGTGTTTAAGTGTTTTACATTATTGAACATTAAAAAAAATGATCACACATTCAATATAATATATATATATTTATTTTTTCGTCGAATTTCCATATTAACTTCCTTACTAAATATACGTGAGAACATCACACTGAGATAGTGTTAAAGAGAGAAATAGAGAAAGAGCGAGAAAGTTTGGAGACAGGGAGTAATTACGTAACTGAAACGTACAAAAAAAAACAAAAATCACTGTCGCATCGCACACTACAATATCCATACACGTTAATATTATGGTAAAAAGGAGACGTATAAAAAACCCTAAAACCTTACTTTATTTTTTTTATATATAATTATTTCAATATAAGTCGCAATAATAATTATATATTTTCGATTATTAGTAAATATATATATGTATAGAAACGTTGAATAACGCACGAAAATAGATTTACAAATATGAGATACGTGAATCAAATCAGAAATTCGGACCTTAAACAAAATTATACACAGAAAAAAAAACACAATATAATTATATAAACAAATATTATTACCATTATCACAATATCGTTTCATGAACAGCACCATTTTCATATATTTTTTTTCCCTCTTCTTTCATTTCAATATTTTCTCATGAGCATATCATTCCTTACCTAATAATAATTAATAATAATAATATACAAAAAAACGTAAAGATTTCAATGAAAATAGTAACAAAAATTATCGTGATTTTCTATCAGTGTTTCGCAAAAACAAGACAATTCTATTCTAAGTTATATCTAATTTGTTTGTTGTTAAGTAACAAAAGTATCTGTTATCAATTGGGTCATAATTTAAGTAATTGAAGCAAATAAACTTTATGAAAATCTTGGATTATGAAGAAACGAAAAGAAAAATCTCCTTGAATTTCACTTACAAATCCTTACGTTGTTCATATTACCTACACTAAACAACCGAACTAATCTATGGCGACTAACAGAAATCATACAAGTAAAGTACATAATTATTATCACAATTGTATAAACCGAATAAACTAAAAAAAAAATGTATATAAAATAAATCTTACTTAACGAAAACATTAAAAAAACCCTTGCACAACGTCGTACATTTATTCATCGTGTGGTGGTGGTTTTTGTTCTCATCAATCAATAATATATCGTAAACATGCAATATTAAAATAATGTATCATATCCATTTATTTATTTATTTTTTCATATAATTTTATATAATATATATTTCGTTTCGAAATAGTGTTTCAATAATATTCGCGTTGCTTTCCTTCTTCATCATCTTCTCTTTTCTTTCATTTTTTTTTCATCCCCCTTTCTTTAAAATCGAATAAAAGTGCTACATATACAATTTTATATATAGAATATAGATATACACCGAAAAAACGACATTTAGACACGATTTTTTTTTGTTATTTTTTTCTTTTTAAATATATATATATATAATAATTTTTCCAATTTTTTATATTTTTTTCTTCATATATATATATAATATCTGTTAGTAAAATTTTCTTGATTAAGTCTATGCCCCTCCTATCGTTCAAATGTACATACACTTCGTAGAATCCAAAATATAAATCATAAATCAATCAGAAGACGGAACATAATTTTAGCAAAAACACACACTTCTTCGTTACGGGCAAAAATATAATTCCCTCCACGTTTCATTCTCATTAATGTTATTATTATTAAATAGGAACATTTATCCATAAATATATTTTGTTCAAAACGGATAAAAAACAACAACACTTATGTACTTATGTTATGTTTTTCTTTGCTTTTACGCCTTAATAATAAACATTGTATTCATATTATTATTATTATTATTAATAATTCATTAATTATTTACATGGATCGAATCATTAGTTTTTAACTTCTTTCGTGTGTGTTTGCATTAAAAATCTTGTTTTTCTTTTCTTTATTCGTTTCATTCACTTTCGTTTTGTATTTTGGAAGGAATAATCGTTGAAAAATCATGGAAAATCAAGCGAAGAAATCTAGTTTGTAAATACCACGCGGTATTTGCCACACAAATCCTAACTTGACAAACTACTTGACAAGTACCACGTAATGAATAAACATCTTAATTTATGACTTACGTAACTCACCATTGTCTAAGATTTATACACCGATTTGAATTTGAAAGTGAATAAGAAAGAAATCTTATTTTTTTCTTGAATTTACAAAATATTATTATCACAAAAATATTATTGATCATCGAAAACGTGCAAGGAGAGAATTTAAAATCAATATTTTTTTTTTCAATTTATTTTAATAAACTTAATCTATCATCAGGAATTATCACAAACTTAATCACAAAGAAATTCATGCCATTTTTATCAGTTTCAATCAAGTTATAATGTAATTTAACCCTTTTTTGGACACGTGGCGTATATATCCGCCCAACTTTGCGGAGTCCTTTGTAAAGACTTACTAGTCTTTTTCATGTTTTTGATTAAGCTTTGGCTTAAGTTCTGTTTTTAATTGTTCTATCCGAAAAGGGTTAAAATAATTGGTTAGTTTATCAGTTTCAATCAAGTTATAATGTGATTTAACCCTTTTTTGGACTCGTGGCGTATATATCCGCCCAACTTTGCCGAGTATTATGTAAAGACTTACTAGTCTTTTTCATGTTTTTGATTAAGCTTTGGCTTAAGCTTTAAATTATTTTATCCGAAAAGGGTTAAAATTTTCTTTATTATGAAAATTTAAGATAATGTGTTTATATCATAGACAAAAGTGAGTGTTTAAAAAAAACTATCATGTAATAACTAATAAATGAAACTTACTAAAAAGGCACATCAATATTTTATACATTAATAATTGTTCGAAAAATAAAGTATATATATATTTTTATATATATCAATAAATTAAAAAAAAAACTGAACGAATTGGAAATTATGTGACATTACGTTTGAATTTATTGGTTTGTATTGCATTTCTCCACTCGAAAACAAAAAGAACAATTAAAAAAATAAAATTAATATAACCAAAAGGTTGAGTTTCGTCAAAAAAAAAATTAAAACAGAATCAATAATAATAAAAAAAAAATCAGTCTTTCAGCTTTTAAAACCACATGCTACTACTTCATCATCATCATCATATCACTCTCACAATGTATATCAGTCTCTTCTAAATATCACCGATCGCTCAAATCAACATTTGATCATGCTCAGTCCAGAACCAACATATCTTCTACTCATCATCCTCATCATCATCATCACCCGAATAATTAAAAATAATAATTTAAATGCAATTCTTTTTGGTAAATAACGTCACATAATTCGATCCGAATTAAATAAAACAAAAAGTAATAATTCCATTAAAACATTCCTCCAAAGCATTAAAATTTTCCTCTCAGTTTACTGCTATTATGTATATAAAATTGACCACGATGAAAATTAAAAAAAAAATATTAAAAAAATTATTCCATCATCATTACTAATATTAATAATTAATTAACATCTTACGAATATTTCTTAAACCTTAAATATGATTTTTTTTCAATTTAAATATAGATATATTTATATATTATATAATCAATTAGTAAATGTTTAACATCTTGTAATTCTATTTAGGTTTATTTTTTTTAATATAATATTTTGTATTTCGTTTCTTTTGTATTGTTATTATGGCAATAAATATAATAGAGGTACATCTGATTGTGTTGAGCGTAAATTGGTTATTATTTAAGTTTTGTTCGAAAAAATAGTCTCAGTAAAAAAAAACAAAAACAAAATCAACAACAATATTGGCGAGTTGTTATATAAATGCGGAAATGCGCACATTTCCGACTTTCTCTGAATAAGTGTATATAAAAAATAAGTAATCTGTTTATCCTTCTTCACTTGTCCTGTTTTTTTTTTCTTTTTTGTGTGTATATATAGTTATTATTATATTATATTTATTTATTTGCTATTTTTTTTTGTTTGTTTTCTGAGGCAGCCTTCGATGTTAAACATTTAAAACACGCTCATCTATTAAAATTATGGTTACATCATTGTTGTTTTTTTATTATATAATCGGTTAAAATCTCTACTGTGTACTTTAAATATTAGGGTTATTATTTTGTATTAGTTTTATCAATGTTATTATAGTAATAATAATAATATATTATATATACGATCAAAAATCTTGAGGTACATCGATTTGGCACAAGACAGTAATTATATTTGCTTATTCTGTAAATGACTCAATTCAATTCATCGAATCATCTTTTTCGATGTTTATGCTATGTAATCATGTATATATATATAATATAATTGCGTGTATATAAATTTCGCTCTTCAATCAGGAACCTGCTTATATATATATATATATTCTTAGACGTTAACTTCTTCTCTACTTACAGACGGTTCGTTGGAGATGGCTTCGAAACTACAGACGTAATAAACAAATGTAATATAGAAATTTGAAAGAAAAATAGACACACAGATTATTATTATTAATGTTATAAGAATTATCTTTTCTTTTTTCGTGCACACGAGTATTGACTATCCAGAATCTTTTATGTTTCGACTTCTTGACTAGCAGGAACAACTGCGTATATTGCTTGGTAACTCACTATGTAATATTTTATATAAACCAGTGTTTGATGATCGCTCGAGAAGCACTGGTTCGTTGGACGACACGAAAATAACGAAAAGAAACGCGCACAAACAATCTGGATTAGATTCGTAATGGAAACAAACAAAAAAAATGAAACCCGCACTTGGTTTAAACTAAATGTTTAAATGTGTGTTTGTAGAAGGAAATTAATGTTAAATTGTAGGAGACAAACGATTTTGTTTTGTTCATCTTTTGGAATTTCGGTCCACCGTTGTCGTTCTCTTGATCACAGCCGAAACTAATTATTCTTGTTTACATCTTCAGTTATTTGAAATGAAGAATCTAACCCGTTGAGAAAAATTAAACATCTCGTTTTTTTTAAAATTATTTGTTTATGTTTTGTTTTAATTCGAAAACGGACGGAAAAAAGTAAGTTAATCATCGGAAAATAACAATTATTTCTTGGAGACGGAGGCTGAGGGTCTGTATCAGCGTGGCGTGTTTATGTGGGTGGTCAAGTGCTTGGAAAGGTAGTCGGCTCGGGCGAAGCACTTTCCGCACATGTCGCAATGGTATGGACGTTCTCCTGTGTGGATTCTCAGATGCCTGGTGAGATCGCTTTTACCGCCGAAAGCTCTTCCGCAGAATAGACAGACGAAGGGTCTTTCGCCTGTGTGCTTGCGTACGTGAAGCTTTAGGTTCTCTTTGGAGCGGACGCACTTGCCGCAGAAGGGACAGGCGAATCTGCGTTCGCGTTGCCTTTCAGCTGCATCCGCCTTGAGGAAGCTTATGATTGAAGCTTCTTGAGCGTGACGAAAGGCCTCTGAGCTGCTTGCCGCTGCTGCTATAGAGAAGGAGTCTATAGTGTCGTCTTGTTCCACTTCAATCTTATCGTCAGTAGAACCTTCAGCTACTTCGATGTTCTCTTCTTTGATGGTGATCTCTGGTTCATGCTCTTCAACAGCTATAGTCTCATTGGAACTGGACACCTGATCACTGCTGTTCTCCATCGGGATCTGCATCTGAGTCTCCCCCTTGTTCTCAGAGCCGAGCATCTCTGAGGACTTCCCGTGAAGTCGCTCCAACGCGTGGTTCAAACGATGCTTCTTGAAGGACTTCAAGTATCTGAACTGCATGCCGCATACGTCGCAGGAGAACAACTTATCAGCTGGTAATCGAGCCCTGTGATTCTGCTCTCTGTGCTTCACGTAAGCAGAGCGGTACCTGTAACTCTGACCGCACTGCTCGCAGACGAAAGGCTTGTCCACAGTGGACAAGGATCCGATGTGCTGGAGGGCCGTGTGCTGTTCCAGGAGCCAAATGGACGGGAATGCTGCCATGCAGGCTGAGCAACGAAACATTTCTTCACCGATGAGCGCCGGATGCATCAGTCCCACCTCCAGAAGGGACGTCGCCAAAGATGGGTACGGAAGGGCGAAGGGTGTTGAGGAGCGGCTGCTGTGGGCGCTCGCTGGTCGCTCCAGGCACGGCGACCCGAAGCACCTGTCCACCTCCAACGCGTTCTGGAACAGTTCCAAAGCAGAAACGAATGAAAATCAATCGGGATCCAGTATGGGGCGAATTGGGTCACCCAATGCACACGCATCCAACTTGTCGCAGTTTTGGTGGATGCGCCTGGCTAACATGCAATTCGACTGAAGCTATTTCACTTTACGACAACAACTATGAGACACAAATTGTTTCACCCCGAACAACTTACAAATACTTACATAATACATTTAACAATTGTTAATTGATCCATTTTTTTTTTATTTCTACTTAAAATAAATGAGATTTCAATATGAAATGAGTGTTTTATACCTGAAAAATAATTAGAATTTCTTTGCTAAGCTGAAAGAAAGTGAAAAGTGATTTGGGACGATGGCAAATGGTAGAGATAGATAGAGTTTTGAGTGTGAATAAAACGCCATTGGGGTATGTGTGTTTATATTTTACATTCTCTGTTTCTTTTTCATTTTATTATCATCATCATCATCATCATCATCATTTATACTTCATCAAAAAAAAAATCACGTAATTCATTTTATTTGTCAAAAATCCGTCAGTCCGCGTGCGCCGAACCGTCCCGTGTCCTCTTCTTCACAACCACCAAAAAATCCAGCTCTCCAATCCTCATCATCATCATCATCTTCATCATCCATTAAACATCTGTGTTTTTTTCTTCTTCTTCTTCTTCTTTTATACAACTATGATATGCATGTTTTGTTTTTTTTTTTTTACTTTCTTCTTCTCAAATTTAACTCTTGTTTCGTTCAAATAAAAAACTTAAAGTAAACGAAACAGCAACAATAAAAATTCGAACAACCGAAAACAAGAGAGAACAATAAGCGTTGCATATATAATGGCAAACATTACCTTCCTCCTACATCTCATATTATACACATAGATAATTTATTTTTAAAATATAAATCATAATTTATTTTTTTTTTACGATAATAACACAACACTTATTTATTAACCGTTCAACGAATGAGAATAATGCTTATATATTATATAATATTTGTGAAAAAATCTAAATGGAAAATGAGAGATATCGAAAGAAAAATAATAAAATTACAACAACAATCGTAATTACATTATTTAAATATATATATAATTTTTTTTTGTGTCTTTTCTTGTATATTTTTTTTCTCTTTTCTGTTTAGATAAAAATGGGGAATGATGGCGAGGGTTAATAATTTCTCGAAGCTCAGGTAAAATGACTCTAAATCAATAATCCAAAACAACAAACAAACAAACAAATCTTTCATTCATCTTCGTGAAACGATTACAGCTATATTTTTTTGTTGCTTCTTTCATATATCTTTTTTTTGTTGCACGTAATAATAGTTTTTTTTTTATATAATATAGTAGTAATGATAATCAATAAGGGCAAAGAATGTATTGCTATGTGATGTGATTAGAACTACTGCAGTGTCTCTACGTTTGTTATAGTATTTAGTACACTCGCTCGTCCGTCCACTCGTTTTAACGCTATTACTCATCTTCAAATAATGTTTTTTTTTCCTTTCATCTTCTTTAAATTAAATTCATTAATAATAATTATTACTCTTTCTTCATTTACTGAATACAGGAACTTATTGTATCAAACTATAGGTACTATTTATCATTTATATTCCATATACATATCGTAAATAACAGAGAGGAGAATCGCTGAAGGACCCTAAAATCGTTACACAAAAGTTGGGGTGGAGAGAAAACAAAAAGAAAATAAATAACAACTTCTTCGACAATCGTAAAAATTATTACACAAAATAATATATATATATAAAAAAAAAAACAAACAAACTATGTATGTTTCATATAGAGAGAATTAAATAAATTAGATCTTATATAGCAGGACAAAATATTATTTAATAATCATTAATTAACAGTTAATATATCATCGTAAAATAAATTAAATCGTCGTTCATCATATACATTTATATAATCTGTGTTACGCGTGTGTTCATTTGTATGTATACGTGTCTGTGTGGGTGTGTAAAGTGTGATTACGTTACCTAAATCCGCTACAAACTAATTAGTTAATCGAAGAAGAATAATTAATGAGAAATAAAATAATCGGTGAAAAAACAAGTTTATTTATCCTTGATTACTCCGAGTAAAAAAAAACTGGCTTACTTTGTCTGTCTCATCAGCTAAACTTAAACTCGTGTTAATTAATAATATAATACGTTTATCATAAATTAATTATAATTCTGTTAAAAATATAGTAGTAGTCTACAGGAACATGGGATTTCATTTATATAATATAATGTAATATTATTATAACTTCTTCATTTATCAGTATATATATANNATATATATATGTATATAAATACGTTACGTCATATAAATAAACTAATTAACTAAGAAAAAACAGTAATTATTATAATTATATTAAAGGGAGAAGAAAAATAAACACTGCAAGTTCTATTTGATAACAAGGGTAAATAAAAAAAAAATGTTTCATCGAATTGATTTGTTAACCCTCGTTTCATTGAAAAATCATCTCAGCTTGTGCCGTGCGCTTTAAATTTTGCTTGTATTCTTCGCAAAATTGAATATATACCACAGCTTCTTTGCAAAAATCCTAAGACAACAAAAACTCGCCTCAAGTAGTGTCTCGTCCCGTGGTTACTTTACTTTATCCGTTTTATTTTTTTAAATAAAAATTTAACTGAAAATATAGAAAAACTGATTTTTTCTGTATCCGTTTTTCATTATTTTTTTTTTGGTAGTTGGCACTCAACAAATATATATTGTATTCATCTGTAAATTATCCCAGTAAAATGTGTAAACGTGTTTAATTGTAAGTAGTAGTAGTAGTTTTGGTAAAGTCTAAAAAATTGCTTGTATCGTCAACCTGTAACATATAGAATCTAGTATAAAAGTTTTGAGGTACGAGATCGGATCGATCGGGCTGCGACTTTATTGCTATTTTGTTTATTTCTTGTTTCAAATTGCTATTATTATTTGCCTACTTTGATGTAAAAATAATTATACTACAAAAAAAAAACATGAAAATCTGTCGAAGCCCGTCGAGACCGATCGCTCTGTAATATTTATGTTTTGTATGTATGTTTTGTATGCTACATCTAGTTTTTATTATGTTTTTTTTTTGTATTATTGTTAATAACAGTTCTATTGATATTGGAAGTGAGTGGCCCTGAGCTACCATAGAAAGGGTACGTAATTGTATTTATGTAATTATTATTTATATAATCTATTGCAAACTTAACTAAAAACGCAGGAAATCAATCATCTGTTAAAAATTATTCAATAGAATCGCTTCACGATCGTAGTAAAATTTCTTTATTTTTTTTTTTGTATATATAAATATCATCGTTCATATTTTTTTTTCAATTATTTTTCTTTTCATACAACCGGTATAAATATCTTTATTTTGTTTTTTTTTTATTTCTATCCATTATTCAATAAGAAAACGCTTGAAAAATCTTAAGTTTTTTTTTTTAAAGAAAAAGGGATCTTTTGCAAGTTATATAAGTATGTTTGTTTCTTATTTATTTGATTTCAGAAATTGCTTAACTTTTGTAGAAAAATTAGGTTATTGAATTAAGATTTAAAATTAAAATTTGTTTGAATTTAATAATTATCTAATAATCAAAAATACAATAAAATGTAATACAATATTTTGGAAATGTTTCGTAACGATAACTTTAAATTTCAAATTGATAAAATTAGAAACTATATGAATACTCTCAATGACCTGAAAAAAGGTCTTTGCTAAAGGCACTTCAAATTCTTACAATTCTACAAGAATAAAATTAAATAAAAATTGCTTTTTAAGAATTTTTAAAGCAAAATGAAGGACAAAAATTTTCAAAATTTACTGGTATTTTTTTAGGAAATTTACAAATTTTTTTGAAGATTCCCAAAAAGAAATATGAGAACAAAATTTGTATTTGTACATAATCACATAAAATTAAAAAAAAAACTAATATATTTGCAAATGATCCCTCTTCCTTTAGAAACGTCAAAATATTATTGATAAAACAAATGAGTACTTTAATCTTCGCTTTAACTGTTTGTTAAACCTCCAGTTAAATTTCAACTCGAAGAAGAAAATACTAGAGTTTTCGTTAAAATCGGATTAAAATATGACACGAGTGCGTTTTAACATTGAACGAAAACAAACAAATCGCAACTTAAATTACAAATGTATCTCACTTTCATGATAATAATTAATAACTTGTTTATCATTGATTTTTCTTTATATACTTTTTTTTCGCATTTTTTTTGCTCCAATATACAAAAAGGATTTTTCTTTCTTTTTTAATATAATGAATCAACAACTAATATGTGTTTCATCACAGACTATCACAGATTATTACATCTGCAATTCTCTTATTACGTAATAAGATTTTCTCTTCTTTGTTATCATTATTATTATTATTGTGTTCCCTACTTTTAATATATTAATATATTTATATATATTCACCGTTTGCAAAAATCCTTGCATCATAAATATTTAAATTCAATATTTTCGCCATCTTTCAACGTCCTCGATTTTTGTGTTTTTTTTTCCGCAATTAATTAATTAAATAAAAAAATAATAATTAATAATTTTGGAATTAAACAAATCGCAATATCAAAGTTGGAAACCGCCTCGTTTCTCAATGTAATACATCAGTCACTTATCTCTCACAGCAAGAATTTTAATTGGTATTTTTCAATAGAGATGGCGCAAAATCCGCGCGCATTTTTGTTTTGTTTGTTTGTTATCATTGCTTCCTGCGTGTTCTTCCAAACGTTCCTCAACTCCAATGCAAACAAATTTCGGGATTTTAAATAAATAGAAAAAAAATCACGTCTGAGAGACGGTCGCATTAAGTACACACACTTCAGGAATCAAAGTATACTAACTAGAAATAATAATAATATTAATAATAATACGCATCTCACTAACTTAAGGAAACAACGATCTTATTAGCACCTTGGAGAGAAAACAAAAGAACAACTGTGACTCATTTCATTTGTTTGTTGTTGCAAAGTGTGTGTGTGTGTGTTGCGTCGTCTGATTTGATCCTCAATTGTTTGTTTATTTTAGTCTTTGTTTATCATTTCTTCTTCATCCGTTTTCATTCATCGTCATCTTAGAAAGTCTTATCGAGAGGCACTCCGGTTGCAGTTGGATTAATTATCAAATATACAAGAGGGTGTTCTTTCATTACACGAAAAATTTAACTTAGAAACAACACCAAAAAAAAAATAAACATTGAATTTAAGCCGCGTTAAAACGATTGCTCTGCGATTTCCCATTTTACCCTCAACTGAGAAAATAAATAGTAACTACTTAAATACGCCTATCTATGTACAACGAATTTTTATTTCTCTCTCTCTCTTTTTTTTCTTTCTATAATATATATATTTATTTATATGTNNTAATATATATATTTATTTATATGTTTTTTTATCTTGTTCAATATATATATAATAATATATATAATATATATCTCTCTATTAAAAATATTATAAATATATTCTCTCACGTAGGAAACGAAAAAAGTAGTTGTTGAATCTGTTGACTACAGTGTCTAGTGCTGATAGGTATTACCGTTATATATATATATATATTAAATATTATCATTACATAATCATTATGTACAATATATATTATTAATAATAATTGCTTCGACCCTTCATCTTCTTTTTGTTGTTGTTGTTTGTTGCTATATATTCATTCAAGATAATCAACTTGTATTATTGCTATATACTCGTGGTACAAAAAGGATCAACGAATCGGAAATGAAATCGTCCTTGTTCTTCTTCTTATTTTATTTCCGGTATGTGTATAAAAATATGCCTATGTTATTATGCAAACATCGTCGTTTGCGCAGCTCGCAACGCAAATACTTTATATATATTTAACAAAATGAAAAAACAAAAAAAATAATAATAAACATAATTATATAAGGAACTAACAACGTTACACTGTATTGTTTTTATTAATTCGCGTCTGCTTCTAACTTACTCTTTTTGTATCTGTCAAGAGATGGCGTCGCGGAGAAATAGAGAGAATCAAGCTAGTGTGCCGTAACTCAATGAAGTTGAAAACCGCACGAGGGGATCCACAAACGAAAAAAAAAACAAAAAAACAAACATAAAATAAAAGAGAAAAGAAAGAAAAACTTGTTACAACGAATAATAATTAATTAATTATGTAAAAACAGAAAAATGATAATAATTAAAGAAACAGATGTCCCTCCCTGCACAATAATACTGCCCGAGAACAAAACGTTAATAGTTAAAATAATTATGGTCCTTGCGCTTTCTTAATCTTACGTAACCCTAGAAAATTGGAAAGAATTTTTTTGTTTTTTTTCTATTGATTTTTTAATTAAACTAATTGAATTTGTTAGATTATTTGATGAAGTAAAAACTTGAAGAAGTTTGATTTTAGTTTAATTTATATTTGCAATTAATATAAAATAAAATAAGAAAATTTTTCATTCTCATTTTCACACTTTATGAATTGCATAAAACTTATCAATTAATAAAAGTTTTTCAATATTTTGTATTAGATACAGTGGCGGAACTTCAAATATTTGTCCTCTCTGCTAAAATCCCTAAATTGTTCACGATTTTTTAAGTAGTGAGTTGTCATAAGGTCTAAGAAAATTTGCTGTAGTTTGATAGCAACTAGCATTTTTTTATTCGAGGCCCCTTTGATTTTAAATAGAGAAAATTACTGAAGCCGCCCCCCCTTGATTTTAAATAGAGAAAATTACTGAGGCCTCCCTTGATTTTAAATAGAGAAAAATACTTAGGCCCCTTTGATCTTAAACAGAAAAAAATACTCAGGCTCCCCTTGATTTTAAATAAAGAAAATTACTGAGACTCCCTTGATTTTAAATAGAGAAAATTACTGAGGGCTACATTAAGAAAGTCGTGAGACACCAGTTAGTTGAGGGTCCTAAACAAATTTTTATTTGGGCCCTCGATAAATCCGCCCATTGCATTGTAGTTTCGTCACTGATTAGATAATTAAAAAGTTTAATTTAAAAACATAAAATATTACAGTAAAATTAAATGTGTAGATCAGAGATGGTGTTACTGTTAGGATTAAATAGAGAAAATTACTGAGGCCTCCCTTGATTTTAAATAGAGAAAATTACTGAGGCCTCCCTTGATTTTAAATAGAGAAAATTACTGAGGCCTCCCTTGTTTTTAAATAGAGAAAATTACTGAGGTCCCACTTGATTTTAAATAGAGAAAATTACTGAGGGCCACATTAAGAAAGTCGTGGAACACCAGTTAGTTGAGGGTCCTAAAAATTTTTTTTATTTGGGCCCTCGATAAATCCGCCTACTGTATTGTAGTTCCGTCACTGATTAGATAATTAAAAAGTTTAAATGTGTAGATCAGAGATGGCGTTAGTGTTAGGATTACGTGTGAGATTAGAAGTTTAAGGACCAAAATGAGTAATTAAAATTAAATTATATTAAGGATAATATTTTGATGTAATAAGAGTAAAGCCCGCTCCACTGGAATGCCTACACCTAGCATCTCTCGCTCTTCGAACATCTACTAGTTCATCTCTTCTAGTTCATCGAAAAAGAAACACACAAAAATAAAACAACAACATTAACGACAACAAAAAAAAAAACGTCTGCTTGTGTGTATATGAATGTATGTATCTGTCTGTCTTGTTTTTGCATGCGTTTGATATAACAATACGAATATCAGAGTTTATTGCCCCGGCAGCCCTCCTCCTTCAATCAATCACAGCTCGCACTCCAGTTTATCTTGATTTCTTTTACAACTTCTTCTTTATACACTTATAGTTAATATACTATCACAGCTCTTACAGTTGCCTACTACTGAGATTAACATGGCGTTCCCTAACTATCACTACAAGTTTTTTTATTTAATTTTTTTTTTAAATTTAAATTTAAATATTCATTCATCTTATTTAATCAATTTAATTTACGTGTGTGTTTAATTAATAATTTGTTGTGTGTGTGTGTGTTTAATTTACGTGTGTGTTGTGTGTAGCTTAAGTTTCATTTATACGTTTTTTTTTTAATTTATTTAGTTGCCCTTGGATCAACTTGCCATTCTTCATGAAAATATTCAAACAGAAGCTGCCGGTATCTTGCGTTCATCTTCATCTTGATCATCTTTTGTTTATTATTATTATTATTCACTTGGACCGCCTTCTATCGATTATTGCATGAATCAAATGAATCTTTCGATTTGAAATTTAAGAAAAAGTTTATGTAATAAAAACTCATTGAAAGAAACAACACAATTGGAGAAACATCGCCGCTAACGGGTGATTGCTAACGCGACAATTCATGTTTTATATAGTTTTTATATATATATATATATAAAAAAAAAGTTGGTGAACTTAATAATGTTTATATTCGCAGATATATTTACGTAAATATATCTTTTTTTTTTGTATATATATATATATGTATGTATATATATAATTAGCTAGTATATTACACAAGCTGTCAACTAGTGAAGCATCATTCATATTATGGTGGATCATGGCGAAACTGTTAGTTCTGTATGATCATTATCTTTATCATCGTCATCAATATCTTCATCATCAGTCTAAGGAACTATTCACGTGGGCTAGTGCGGGCTCTCCTCCTCGGTGTCGAGCGGACTGGGCGAGAGGAACTTCCTGACGTACTTGGGATAGTGCGTCTTCTCGTGGGCTTTGAGGATCGTCGACCTCGAGAAGGTCTTGCCGCAGAGTGCGCATCTGAAGGGTCTTTCTCCGGTGTGCACGCGACAGTGGTCCTTCATGTGATGCCGCAGCTTGAACGCTTTACCGCAGAACTCGCACTTGAAGGGTCTATCACCAGTGTGGACCGGCAGATGCGAGATGAGCGAGCTGACGTCCGGGAAGGATTTGCCGCAGAACTTGCAGAGGACGACACCGGGTCCGTCGGCGGCGAGCTCCAGTTCCATCGGCGTCGGAGGCTGATCAGTGGGATCCGGAGGTTCGTGACTCATGGGTGGACCTCGCGCTCCTCCGAAGTGCGTGTCCATCAGGTTGAGAGGTTCCGAAAGTCCAAGGGCAGCGTGATGCTGCAGCTCCCTGTACTTGAGCGTCTCCAGGCTGTGCGAGAGGATGTGCCTCGTCAGCTTGCTCTGGTGTGGGAACGAGGTGCCGCAGTACATGCACGGATAAAGACGCGGCGAGCCCGCATCTCTGCTCTCCATATCCTGCAACCAAACAACCACATCAACTTCTTGCTAGGTGCTAGCGCTCTGTCTACCCTGTAACACTACAAGAAGTTGACGCTCATTGTTTGGCTGAAGAAAAAGGATGTGTCTGCAGTGCTGCTCCCCGTTATTATTAATTAAACCCCGGCTCTACACACCATCTGCACAAGGCCAAACTCAAATTTGTTGAAAACAAAACATCCTAAGCCAAAATGAATGTCAACTTCTTGACAGCGCGCGCTCACACTCTCTCTTTCTCTATATAGAGCAATCCATCTACCTATCTCTTTACTCACTACCAATCTCATCATCATCATTTCTTTCTTTCTTCTACTGGTTCGAGAAACTCTATACAGCAGCACTCACTACCATCTCGCAAATAAAAGGAAATGAAAAAGAGTCGCGTACGCGTATAAAATACACCAACTAATAATGATGCTACAAACTACTCCAGGTGCACTTACCGGATCGTGTGTGTGTCGTGGGTAGTCTGAAGAACTTTCGCCGGTGCTTTTGTCATCCGCCATCCCTCCTCCCCAATCCACTTCCTTTTTCAATGACTGCAACAACAACAAAAATACAAACTTATAACATAAAAAAACACAAACAAATCAAGTACAAATTGAAAATTTACAATATAAAGCCAAGTTTATTATAGTTCTGGTTCAAAATCACAATTTAAACTCTATTTTGTGTCTGTTATACTTTGAGTAAGTTTTCATTCTAGAGATTTATTCATATTTTTATCAAGAAATGTTTCACAAAATGAAATGTTATCACAAATGAACGATTATAAAAATTAAATAATTAAATTGTAAATACATATAATGTTAATATGTAAAATTGTGCTAATAATTGTTAAATTTTATATAGGAAAGTTATGTAAAATAAATGCAGTAAAATGGATTGTATGCAGCATGAGGTTTATGGTAAAGTGAATCCATTAACTGTAGCAGAATAAACAACGTAACAGTACTTCTCGAGAAAAGATGGACGGGGAATAACATCATGAACAACAACACAAAAAAAAATGAATGTTAGATGCGCCCGGGGGGCAGTAATTATGCTCGATTGCATAAAGCAATCATCGCGGATCGAAAACGTTTTATGCAAAATAAAAAAAAAAACGCAATTTCCATTTCACGTTTACTAAGGAATATTCTAATTCGCCTGTTCCCAGGCGCCGTCGGCTCATCACTTTTATTTATAATCAATCCCAATTAAACAAGACAAGACAAGATGAGAAAGAAAAGAACAAAAAAAAACCTGATTTTTTTTTTCCAATTGCATTTGCATTTCAACAATTTTGTCATCGAAAGACATTTGAATTTATTCGCTTGCGTTTACGTTCAAGGAAAATAAACGGCTTTTGATATCGTAAGCGATACGTTTTCGAATACTTCATTGGAAGTTGGAAGTAAATAATATGTTTTTCCCCCGTTCGACACACGCACTATTTTATACTTGTCAAGTGGAGTAATTTAATTACGTCGTTCGATATGCGCAATCTTCGCGCTCGATCTGCAAAGGCGGTCGGTCCGCGCAATACGTAACAATAACGTTGCTAAGATACTTTTCAAGATTCAACAATGTCCTCTGTCCATTGTTTAGAACCTCGATTACGCTTTTATTTCTTCGAATTGACGTTGCATTCGATGTAAATATCTAATTTTTATTTCTTTCGAAAAGCAAGCAATGATACACCTCGGTTTATCTGTTTCTTTTTTACTTCAGGTGATTAAAATTTAATCATCGTAATTAATCTATGGTAACAAGTAATAATAATAATAATATAAATTGATCGTCGCCGCCTTTCTGTGTGTTTGTGTGAGCTGATCACGCAATCCACTGCTTTATTCTATACAGCCCGGACTCCATTAATTGATTTTTTTTACTTCTCCGCATTTTTATTTCGTGTTTACGTAATTCCCGTGCACCAGTTTAGGCTGAAATTGCGCTCCACGATGAGTGTTATTACGCAAGACTTAAACGAGAGCTTACACACTTCGGTGTTAGCCTTAAGGGTTTACGTGTGGTGTGAGGATGGATCATGAGAAAACGTAGCCTCCGTCCATTAACGAAACGCAATGAATTATATACACATATTGTGGATGGATCCAAGGTCGTCGTTGTCAAAAGGCTGCGTGTTCGAAGCAAATGCAGTTGATCTTAAGTTTTAGTTGACGGATATTCAAATGAGAATCTAACTGATATACTTTGTAGCAAAGCGCAGCAACGATGCATATATATATATATAAGGTTTTTGTAGCGGAATGCCAACATTATTTGTCCTTCTTAAATATCATTGTTATGCAAAATGTATGCACTCGGCGCTATATCAGCTACTTTCTAAGCTTGAATAACGTTGCCATGCAAATTCCGGATAGCTTCTAAATATATGATAAATACTTTCGGTGGTTTTCCATATTACGCACTTTGGAAATTTACATTTCAAAGAGAATACCAAATTAATTTAAAGTAAATAATTAAATTAAACTAATTAATCAATTTGTAAATTTAAATATTTTAATAGATTAATTAACATTTTCAATATATTTTGATATTTTAAATGAATTGTAAAGGTTGGTTTCTTTTAAATTCAAAATTGTGACCGAAATAATATCAAAAATAATAATTGGAAAGCATGAATCATATTTGTTTTTCCTTCTATTATTTTTTTTTCATTTATTTCGGTCGATGAGCAATTAGTTTTTAGCGGTAGACATGAAGTCATTAGTCAATTAGAACGGCGTGGCGTTTATGGTAAAAATTGCGAAGCAATTATGCGAACTCGACGGGGCGGTTTGTTTTATTTTTATTTATTTATTTTTTTCCCTCTCGTTTCTACCGAACGAAATCTGCAGGTAGTTTATGTGAAATCGAGTGGAAAATTTACATAATTCAGTTTCGCAATGGTCGACTCCTCCAGATCTGCGCGTACGATTAAATATCGATTAATAGGTGAATCGAATCGCAGGCATTGGGACTTCCTCGATGCATCGCGAATGTTCATTATAGATTTCGTAAAAAGAAATATATGATGAATGTGATAAATATAAAAAATCAAGGAAATAAGGTGCAAATAGTAATCGGATGGAATTAAAAAGGGGTTGTTTTTTTCGTTGTTGTTGTTGTTGTTGTAATAGCTGATGACAGGCCCGATATGAGGGCGACATTAATAAACGTACGACGTGATAAAGTATATTTTATATGCGGTAGCGGTTCGAAAGTGCAAATTAGGTAACATAAAATCCTGGCGCCCCGAGATTGTTGGAAGCGTTAATGTCTTGCTCGAAAACCTTAGTATTTATCGATGCATCTTTGCATTATATATTCGATTTACGTATACGTATTCATGCAGTCTTCGTCATCTTGAACTTCTTTTGAAATCATTTCATAACTACATTAATAATTTCCTTTACAAACTAATAAACTTCTTGTTCATTTAATTAAAAATTGATTCAAACATATCAATTATTTTTTATATTAATATATTGCTTATTTTTTTTTTCTAAAATTGTTGTAATACTATTATGTATGAAAGACACAATTTTAACTTTAGTATGTATATTTTATGATCTAATTAGAATACGTTGTTATCGAGCATTTATATAAAACGTGAAGTCGTGAGAAATTATCGAAAAATCGCGCTTTGGAAATTTACAAGAGAATACAAAATTAATTTAAAATAAATAATTAAATTAAATTAATTAATCAATTTGTTCAATTTAAATTTAAATATTTTAATTAACATTTTCAATATATTTTGATATTTTAAATGCATTGTAAAGATTAAATTCAAATTTTTAAAGTAAATTCACTAAATTGAAGTCGTGACAAATTATCGAAAAATCGTTTTATCACAGTCATTAATGGACGTTATGTAATGCCTGTAGAATACCCAACTATATATTCATAATTCAAGACAATTTTAATGTTTATTGAGAAAATGGTTAAAATGTTTTATGACAATTTTATTTTATTAATCCAAAATTAAAAATTCTTAACAGTTTGTTAATGATAATTACTCTACTAATTCGACTTTGATAGTAATTAATTATATTATTTTGATTATTGTGGGATGAGTTAAAGGTAATAATGGTAATAGACTCACCAGAGGCACTTGTTGTACTGGTGGCATGTTGGAAGGTCCGGGTAGAGGTTCGCTGTTGATGGGCGATGGTAACCTATTGCATGCCGTGGGGGTGCCACCGAGGGTCGTCGTCGAGCAAGAGCTGACGGCGTTCCCGTTGTTGTGTAAGGTCATATCACTGGGTCCGCAGTCATCGCTGGGAGAGTCCGTCGTCCGGACGGGTTCCACGGAAGCGGGTCTTTCAGGAGGAGTCCTCGACAACCTAGGCGGCGTCGGTATGTGCTCCCTGACCTCGCGCTCCTCCAGTATAGGAGGCGGAGGCGGTTGGGGCTGTTGCTGAAGTAACAGCTGTTGTTGTTGCTGCTGTTGTTGTTGTTGCAGCTGCTGTGGTTGAGATTGAGGTTGTGGTGGTGGTTGCTGCTGCTGTTGAGGTGGCCTCTTGTTCACCAGCTCCGTGGGTTCGATCTGTTCCGGTTCCGGTTCCTGCTTGTAGTCGCGCGTCGATGGGCCCAGGTTCGTCATCTCGGCTAACCCTTTGACTTTGAGGCTTTCGGCCGTCTTCAGCAGCGCCGACAATTGACAGTACTCGACGTTCACCTCGCCCTTGTACATAAACTCGATGAGGGTGCGTAGCTCGGAGAACCTCACGTCCTTCAGTATGACGATCGGATGACGACTCGGATGGTCCACGAAGAGCGTCTGGAAGTACGAGGAGCACGCGGATAGGACGACTTTGTGTGCGCGAATCGAATGGCCCTCCGAGCAGGCCAGCGTCACGTCCACAAGACTCTCGTCTCGCAACAGTTGGCTGAAGACCCCCAATAGGTTACTCTGATGATTGTTCCACCTTAGGCAATAGTGCTCACTTCCCATGTCTGAGACAGACCACACTGCAAAAGAACAAACAACGACAACTTATTAGAAACAATACATCTAGTACAAGATCGATTCGAAGAAGATTTGCTTACATAACGCATGCATACAGCTTTAATTATTACCCACTTGCTACATAACCCATATATTCAAAATAATTTCAATAGATTGTTTATAAATTATTCAATTTTTGATCAATTACGTAATTGTTTGCATCAAATAATCTTTCATTATAAAGAATATACAATCAAAGTTTAATTAAGAATAATTTGCATCTTGTAATTGCAACGTGAAATGAGTTTTTGCGTATTCATTCATTTTGCAATAAATAAAAAAAAAAATCAATGATCAATTAAAAAATGTTTAATTTATCAAAAATGAATTTATTTTAATTGTGCAAAATTTATTATCTGTTGTAAATTAAAAATGTACAATTTATGAAATTATGAAAGATCTTTTCATGACACACATTGAAACTTGTTGAAAAATCATTTCATCTTTACAAAACAAACATCTGATATTTGCATTACAATCATACTTCGATTAAGTTCTGTGCAAATTACGTTGTTATTATAATAATGATAACCGATTTTTGCGCATTCAATTACCATAAGTAATTGAAAATGAATTATCTAAAAGATTTATGATTACTCGGAGAACGATAATTACGCTACGAGCATTCATAATATGCATTTCAAATAAGTATTTATTGGTAATACGATATTTGATTCGTAATTTACTTTGAGTTAATCAATCTCCACAAATGAGACAACAACCATAATTAGTACAAAAAAATAAATGGAAATTTTCAATAATTAACAAAAAATTGTTTACTTTTTAAGAGATTTTAATTAATTAATTAATCATTAGTAACTTTAGAAACGTAAATGTATAATAATAGTACGAAACCTGTCTGTTAGATGACGCCAGTAACTAAATAATAGTAGAAGATTTATTGAGAAAACTTATATTTACATAGTAAATAAACTTAGAAGAAAGTGCGAACTTGAAAACGGTTTTGAAATAATCTTTGGTTTCAGTTGAAAAATCTCTTAATTATTATTTACGCTGCGTATAAACAATATGGCAAAAGTCATTTACAAAACTTCAAATATGTTGTGTAGAATAAATTTCAATGTTTGCTATTTTTTTTAAATCTAATGAAGAATTGTTAAAGTAAATGAAGAAATACATCAAGTAAATGGTGAGCAGGTTAAACAACAACTAAGGTAGAATAGATATGGCAACAGTTTTCTACTTTTTCTACTTATATTCACACACCTTTTCAATACTTTATTAAACTTATTTATACTTAGATCAATTAGTAGACTATATAGAAAAAAATTAATAATTTAATGATTTAAAATTTATAGAAAATAAAATTGTCTATATTTTTAAAATGATGATAATTTAGTATTTATTTAATTTAAACATAAATTATTTAAATATAATGAAAATAAGAGATTTTCGTTATAAATGTTTTTTGTCCAGTTATTATGTATGTAATTGTTAATTAATCATTAGTAACTTTAGAAACGTAAATGTATAATAATAGTACGAAACCTGTCTGTTAGATGACGCCAGTAACTAAATAAAACTTATATTTATATAGTAAATAAACTTAGAAGAAAGTGCGAACTTGAAAACGGTTTTGAAATGATCTTTGATTTCAGTTTAAAAATCTCTTAATTATTATTTACGCTGCGTATAAACAAAATGGCAAAAGTCATTTGGAAGTTACTTCCTTCGTAATAAACAATCGAATATGCGTTTTTTTTTTGTTAAACCTGTGGTCAGTGTGGAATAACAAAGTCGTTGGATAAAACGAAGGAGAAAAGAAGATTGAATTGATGGATCAAATTAGCGGGCAACGAAAAAAAAAGTAAGGATTTCTGTAAACAAGCGTATTAAGTTGTCATGAGAATTTCGCCGGAGGATATTTCATTAACATCTTGGAACATATGTACTCGAGGTAACCAAAACGAATTTGAATCGCGAAAAATTATGATGAATATAGCAAATACAAAAGGAGTACTACAGACATTGGCGATGACTTTGCGCGGAAAGAGAAAGTCCAAGGACTAATCCGAATGTTTCGCTAAATATTCTAAGCATCCTTTCCATCTCGTTCGTTTTAATGTACGCACGCTTCTTTTTTCATTTATTTTTTTTCTTCTTCTTCTTCTGCTAATCGCGCAAAACTTTCTTAGAAACCGAACGTAACGTGTGCGTTTCGTTGCGCAACTGCCAAAAATTCTAATGAGACCTGACCTAGTTCCATCCACGAACCCGGCTTACATAAAATTTGCATTGCTTTTGGCCCGACCCGACCGACACATATCGCTCGAACTTGACCCTGAAACCAATTTAAATATATTACACGCAAAGCTGTTCTCTTTCTCTTCAATGTCTTTCCAATTTTCAACGTCACCTGTTTTCTACTTTTTCTGTTTATATTCACACACCTTTTCAATACTTAATTAAACTATAGAAAAAAAATATATAATATAATGATTTAATGATTTAAAATTTATAGAAAATAAAATTGTCTATATTTTTAAAATGATGATGATGGAAATGATTTATTTAATTTAAACATAAATTATTTAAATATAATGAAAATAAGAGTAAAAAAGTAATTTAGAAAGTTTGTTTCAAAATTTAATTAACGTTAATGCAATTAATATGAATTTAGTAATGTAAAGAAAATTTTATTTTTTTTAACTAAGTAAGTATTTTTTAAATAATAATAATAATAACATTTATTGTACCAAATCATACTACATACTAAAAAAAGGACTATTGACCATAGGTATTTCTGCCCATTTAAATAATATTGAAGCTTTAACAGTTTTTGTTCCTAATAATTTTAAAATTATATAAATTTAATAATTATTTTAAAATAAATTTTCTAAAATTTATATAATTTTTATTATTTTTTAATTAAAAGACTGTTGTTCTTGCAAAACTAAGTGAAAATGTTGATTAATTTTATTAATATTTAATTTTTATAAAGTTTTATGCAGGTTACACAACAACTAAGGTAGAATAAATATGGCAACCGTTTTCTACTTTTTCTACTTATATTCACACACCTTTTCAATACTTTATTAAACTTACTTATACTTAGATCAATTAGTAGACTATATAGAAAAAAATATATAATTTAATGATTTAAAATTTATAGAAAATAAAATTGTCTATATTTTTAAAATGATGATGATGATGATGATGAAAATGATGATAATTTAGTATTTATTTAATTTAAACATAAATTATTTAAATATAATGAAAATAAGAGTAAAAAAGTAATTTAGAAAGTTTGTTTCAAAATTTAGTTAACGTTAATGCAGTTAATATCTTTGAATTTAGTAGTGTAAAGAAAATTTTATAATTTATTAACTTAATGTAAGTATTGTTTTGTAAATAATAATAATAACATTTATTGTACCAAATCGTACTATATACTAAAAAAAAGGGCTATTGTCCATAGGTATTTCTGCCCTTTTAAATAATATTGAAGCTTTAACAGTTTTTTTTCCTAATAATTTGAAAATTATATAAATTTAATAATTATTTTAAAATAAATTTTCTAAAATTTGTATAATTTTTTAAATAATAGACTGTTGTTCATCGAAAACTAAGTGAAAATGTTGATTAATTTTATTATAATTTCATTTTTATAAAGCTTTATGCAATTATTACTTTGTATTTAATTACAAACTTCAAATATGTTGTGTAGTGTAAATTTCAATGTTCGTTATTAGTTTTTTTTAATGTAATGAAGAATTGTTAAAGTAAATGAAGAAATACATCAAGTAAATGGTGAGCAGGTTACACAACAACTAAGGTAGAATAGATATGGCAACCGTTTTCTACTTTTTCTAGTTATATTCACACACCTTTTCAATACTTTATTAAACTTACTTATACTTAGATCAATTAGTAGACTATATAGAAAAAAAATATATAATTTAATGATTTAAAATTTATAGAAAATAAAATTGTCTATATTTTTCAAATGATGATGATGAAAATGATGATAATTTAGTATTTATTTAATTTAAACATAAATTATTTAAATATAATGAAAATAAGAGTAAAAAAGTAATTTAGAAAGTTTGTTTCAAAATTTAGTTAATGTTAATGCAGTTAATATCTTTGAATTTAGTAATGTAAATAAAATTTTATAATTTTATCTAAGTATTGTTTTTTTTAAATAATAATAACATTTATTGTACCAAATCATACTACATAATAAAAAAACATAATATAACAATTGACCATAGGTATTTCTGCACTTTTAAATAATATTGAAGCTTTGACAGTTTTTTTTTTCCTGATTTGAAAATTATATAAATAATAATTAAATTTTCTAAATTTGTATTATTTTTTAAATAAAAGACTGTTGTTCATGTAAAACTAAGTGAAAATGTTGATTAATTTTATTATAATTTCAATTTTATTAAGCTTTATGCAATTACTACTTTGTATTTAATTACAAACTTCAAATATGTAGAGTAAATTTCAATGTTCGTTATATATTTTTTTTAATCTAATGAAGAATTGTTAAAGTAAATGAAGAAATACATCAAGTAAATGGTGAGCAGGTTACACAACAACTAAGGTAGAATAGATATGGCAACCGTTTTGTATGCAGCAGAAGCAAATGAAAACAAAACCGCGAGATCGATGTGTTTTGATCTCGAGGAATTACAAAGGCTCTCCTCCGCATTACACACATCCGAACAGATCTCTGCGCCTCTTTACATCTTTCTCCCTTCTTTTTTTTTATAAATATATTTTTATTACTGCGAACAAAGGAACAATGCACGCAAGAAAAATGAGCTTTCGAGTTAAAGTCCCAGAAGTGGGAATACATTGTTTGCCCATCACACGTATAAAGAGTATAAAGAGAGAGAGAACGAACGAGATTGTGTGCAGAATATGGAAAGAACAACCTTCTGCAAACGCGAACATTTTTCGCAAATTTAGTTTGCGCAAAAATTTATTTT